TAAGTCAACATTAGGGGGATTACCTTGACATAACCTGCTCAGCACAATCTGTGGTCTACATCTGATCAGTGGCTTGGTCTGATTTGCCACTCTTAGCCTGGCTGAGTATTATGTGTGAAAGCAATGGTGAAAGGACAAACATATATATGATGCATTACAAGTTTTGTTACTGCTGGTGGTAAGAAACAATAGCCAACAGAATAGTTCCCAGCAGAACCACTGAACCCAAGCAGAAACTAATTTTTTATATAAATACAAATTTTGCATATTACAGTTGCTTTGAAATGTCTAATCCTTCATATGATCAATTTTGTACATTTGACACTGAAAATACTACAGTAATTATAAGATGTGTAGCAATGAATGAAAATGCAATGCAAAAGCCAGCTTTTTGGCTCCGGCTCTTTTTCTGTACATTTTATAGTGTGACTGCCTTACCCTCTCTTTGCTTTAAAGCAAAACTTAAAATCTTCTTGGTCACAGCATGCTATTCTTCTTTCTACAAGTCCTAGCGCTTCGTTTTTTATTTGCTCCTAATGTAAAGCTTTCTTGGGTTTGTGAAAGGTGCTATATAAATCAAACTAAATCAAATTCTTTCCTGAATGACCCATCCTATTTTTACACCACATCTTTCTGTGGTGTGTTTGGAATAAGTTTTATTTAAGTCTCATCTAATTAGAACCCAATTACATGATGCTTTCAATTATTAAAATCCAGTGCCTGGCTGCAAAAGACACCTTAAGTTGAATTGTCCCTTAAGACTCTTAAGTATCGTAAGGTTGCACAAGGACGACACGATTCCTTAAGGTTAAGTGTGTTACACAAGAAAAACCTTAGGAGGTATTTGAGGGGTTTTTTTTAAAGCGAAATCATCATGTACCCTTATTTTTTCACTCAGGTAATCCTTTAAGCATTGCAGTTCCTTAACTCAGACATGAAAACTCTTGAGAAATGAAAAAGAGACAAATTCAGAAACTAATCCCTTCTAGGGAGGTACAGCAGCATCATTCCTAAAAGAGACCTCTACAGATTTTACCATGAAGTCTGTTGCACTCTATTGCAATCTGAGATTAAAATACATGGGAACTAGTAATTGCTATGGAATTATTTTGTTTACTGTGGGTGAACCTTTGTGCAAATACAAGTTATGTCAAAGTGGTAATATTTTCTGGGTATTTTGACATATTTGTTAAAAATCTAGTGCTTACCATTCCAAGGTCGAAAGGTCAATGTACAAAATTTGGCAGACATCTGCTCAACATCTACTATAAAAGGCTATCTGCCTCTGGTGGTGGCCAATCAAATTGCTGCAGGGGCCTGTCTCACCTCAGCCTCCAGACATGCCACTGAATAGCGCTCCTCCTTAGTTAGTTAAAGGGAACTGACCTTTGTGTCTCTTGTCTTTATGGACCTTATCTGGTGCACAGGGGCACAGTCATGCTGGAACAGAAAAGGGCCTTCCCTAAACTGTTGCCACAAACATTCTGTAGCATTAACTTTACCCTTCATTGGAACATTTAGCCCAGATCCTGAAAAACAGCCCCAGACCATTATCCCTCCTCCACTAAACTTTACTGTTGATACTATGCATTCTGAGTGTTCTCCTGGCAAACCAGATTGGTTCATCAGACGGCCAGATAGTGAAGCATGATTAATCACTCCAGAGAACACGTTTCCACTGCTCCAGACTCAAGTGGCAGTGTGCTTTACGTTACTTCAGCTGACAGCTGGCACTGACCATAGTGATCTTAGGCTTATGTGCAGCTGCTCAGCCATGGATACCCATTTCATGAAACTACCAGTGCACATATTTATGCAGATGTTGCTTCCAGAGGCAGTATGGAACTCTGCAGTGAGTGATGCAGCAGGGGATAGGTGATTTTTAGGCATTACGTGCTTCAGCACTCGGCAGCCCCGCTCTATGAGTTTGCATCGTCTACTGCAGGCTTGTCAAACTGTGGACCGTCCAGGCCAAAGTGCTGCAGAGATTAGCACTTACCCTCATCTAACGCTTTGAATTCAGTTCATGAGGGTTTTGCTAATTAGCGGATGAGCTGAATTAGGTGTGTTTAATGAGGCAGTGTGCTGAAGTATGCAGTTTTTTGAACTGTGAAGACTGGAGCCTGACACACGTGGCCTACTGCTTCGTGTCTGAGCTGTTGTTCCTCCTAGATGCTTCCATTTCACCAGGGCAGATCAAGCAGGGCAGAAGTTTTACAAACCAAATTGCGGCAAAGGTGCCATCCTATGATAGAGCCATGTTTAAAAACACTGATCTCTTCAGTATGATTCATTCTAGTGCCAATGTTTGTCTTTTGAGATTGCATGGCTATGTGTTTGATTTTATCAGTGGAATTTCCCTTTAACCGTGAGTAAGAGAGTAAAAAGGTTCCTTTTGCCAAGCCTACAAAATAGCTTGTAGGCATGGCCATGCCATTTTATTGGAGTTTTGAGATTTGGTGACCCACAGACACTGGTGAAAGAGAAACTATATCCTTTTCCAGGTAGGTTAATCCAGAACTGCCAGAGCTGTGGGGGCAGCGGGCATTTGATACACCACTTTTTAAGTACTGGGGTGACGACCCACCTCTATTTGACTGAGTTCAGGATGATTACATAACAATAACACAAAAAAAACTCTGTCCCTAAACTGCACGGAGTGCTGACTGGCATGAACAGACAGAGAGTCAAACTCAGTAGCAAAACCATCCAAAATCCACATTTCAGCAGGGAGGCAGGACATTTCCCAAATAGTAAATCCTTCATGAGTTTGTATTTAGAGAGAGAAGCTGCAGCACACTAATCTGGTAAAAATGCTTTTACTGCAATACATAAACTACATTTGGCCACAGTTTATGTTACTACACTGAGTGAATTTACTTAAGATTTAATATTTCTTGCTGCTACCGCTAAACTAAGATCACTTTCAGACTTCCTTGAACCTGTCAAACTTTTTCTTTAGATCAGTCTGTTTTAGCATGTGAACACTCCACCTGTATTCAGGTCTGCACCGAATAAGTGAACACCACAGCACATTTTCACCAGTGCACATCAGCGCTGCCTGCACAATCTGCTTACTTTAACATTTTACTCTTTACACATGCTCATATCAATCTTGCTTGATTTATAGAGATATTCTTTTAGCATGACATTACAGGTAGTTATAATCAGTGGCCTAACTGCATTTTGTCAATCAGCCAGCCACACTCTTTTTTTTTGGAAACAATAAGATTTGCCCCTCCACTCTTGGAGATGTGGCGCCACCCCTGGGTTAATCAAATTCCCCATTTTTGTAAAGTAATTATTTCCCTGGAGATGGGTATCTTCAGGTGTGTCAGGTGTGATTCAGATCAGCATCTTTTTGTTTTATTTCATGTGCATGCTCTCTGATGTTCTACACAATGATAGATGAGAAAAGCAAGTACCATTTCTCAATTGTGACAGACCTCAAGCCTTCACTTTAAACACACAACTAAATCACCTTTTCTTTAATACTGAATCAGCCCCTTATTTGGTGTCATCTGACTGGTCTGCTTGAGCATAATTAATCTTAGTATCATGCCACTATTAACAGTGTTCACAATGCACTGTCACTATCTTGTGTACCTTGCGAACCAATGTAGTACAGAAAGAAATTGATAAACTGCAGAGTTTTTAAAAGCTTTCCAAGGGTGGAATAGTTTAGAAACAATGGTACCAGTTGCAAAAATGTAAGCTGAATAGTTTAACTGTAGTTTTGTTGTTGTCCAAAACATATGTTCAAAAGACTGAAGACGGGACGTGCGCAAGAACAAATTGCAGGATGTCATATTACTCTTAGATTGGACAAATGCCAGTTGCTCTTTATAAATATAGAGGAATAGCAATGTTATCAGTAAAGAACAAGTTTTAAAATTCTGAATTAACATTAAATTGAATACAAGGAAACACCAAAAGATGAAATACCAAAAAAAAACAATGCAGTTATTGAAGTTATTGAAGAATTTCAACATGTTGAACAAGAGTGGAACACCTTACCTTGTGCATCTCAAAATCCAAAAGTCAAGAACAAGTTAAGACAAAAACACATCGGTTCTGACAGTGATCAATGAAAGTTTACTCTAAAAGACACACAGGATACCATCTGTTTCCCTCTTTTACAAACCTTACAAATCCTTGTCATCACTTGACGCTTCACAATGCACCATAACTGTGTCATGGAGTATTCTCCTCAGAGACTCCACATCAGCTCTTCCATCGTTCCTGTCTTGTCCTCTACTGCCCCAGGTCTATCCTGGCTCCTCCTATTCAATATCAGCATTATCTGTCTATTTTTAGTCACTAAGAGATTCATATTTACTCCTCTGCTTGTGAGACTGCTTCATGGTTGGGGTTTTCTTGATTTTTTTCAGTGCTAGAAAACTGCCCATTTGCTTGTTTTTGGATTATGGTCATGGATTCACCTGCAACCTTTTTCTCCCAGTCATAACACTGCTAGTGTATTAGCTACATTACATAATACTTTTAAGAAATGAAAACAGTATTAACAAGCTAACAGTGGCTATTTGCTCCTATAAAATGTTTGCTGATGTTAGGACATTTTAACATGCCAAACACAGATCAAGACTGTCTGATGCGTCCATGGTCTGCACTACGGGTACTCTCTCTAAATCCATTGTCCTAAGAGATCTATTTCTTTTGAATGTTTTCTCTGTGTATACACAGACTATTACTCAGGCGGCCCACGTCATGCCATGTTTACGCCATCAGCTCTAGCTTTGGGAAGGATGAGGAAGAGGGGGGGAAGCACCTCTTAGGTTGTCAACATCAGCCCTTATTGCGTGGCAATAACATAGCACAGCCCTCGACAAGCACACTTCCCTTTGCTCAGTCCAAACACTTCAGAGTGTGTGTACATGTGGGAGGCAGCAACCCTCAGTGGAAGATGATCATAGAGGAGAAGGGTGCTAAGGCCCAGGAAGATCCCCAAGTGCTATATTTGGTATGGAAAGTTACCGTACCTCCGGGACAGAGCGGGCAGTTGGTGAGTCCTGATGGTTGGCAAGGATGAGGAAGGGGAGCGTGCAGAGCTGAGGGTGCTGCAGGGCCAAATGGAGCTCGGAACGGCAGGCCTCCAGCTCCTCGTCTGAAACAGTGCTGTCAAGAACGAATACCACCCCCTGGGAACCCTGGTAATAGCGGCTCCAGTACTTCTTGATATTGTCTGACCCTGTGGTGAGAAAGAAATAAATGCTTAACCTGCTGACTAGAAGGTTACAGTAGACATTTAGGGAAAAATTAAGTCTTGCAATAAAGAATCTCTACTGACAGTATTAATAGTGTGGAAAGCCTTGATGGTCATGTCTTACATGCATCAAAAGTTCTGCATAAAAATGTCAGGCATAATGAAATATGAGCATTGCTTTTGTTTCAAAACAGTCGTATTAATCCCTGTACCACTGTGCCTAACAGAGATTACACATCAAGTATAAGTGTAATCATAATGCTGCAGGTTTAAGGAGATAACGAATCCTGAAGTCTCTTAAAAAGATAAACAAAACAATGCACTCTTCTAGAAAAAAACTGCAGACCTTTCAAATTTTTACTATTACCACATACAATAGTCCTTGGCCTGGAAATGAAGACAGCAACTGGATTTATGACTTCTTTCTGCCAAAGTAGGCTAGTGGGAAAGAACAGCACACATCTCCTAGGGAGAGTTGAATCTCATGTATGGCAGCTTGCTAAACGTGGTCTCTTGCCATCACCTTTGTACGGTATGTTTGGCTCCAGAATCTCACTAATTTGATCCTGCCATCTCTCGTTGCAACACATGCTGATATAACAAACAGCACTTAAATATCTAAAATCATTATTAATGTGTTACTGAGAGAAATTCATAACTGTCTGTTTTATCTGTTTAATATTTAGAGCCATATTCCATTGAAAAAGAACAGCTCAGACCAACTCATCTGTTTAATTTCCATTTCAGAAGACCTGGAATGCATATTTAGATGTCATCCACCAAACTTCCCCTCATTTCATCTTTGCTATTTTGTTGAAAAAGAGAAAGAGAGAGAGAGGGAGAAGAGTTACTATTGTGCTCTTCATCTTTGCGTGTCAATCACTGTGGTTGTAGCTGCAGCCCACAGGGGGAAGAGTGTGTGTCCAAATTCGCTCACTGTGTTCAACATAAAAGATTTTTGCTCAAAGTAAACACATAAGCCCTTACAAGAGTTACTCAATCACAGCACATGGCCCAATCTTTAAATGGGGGGAATTACAGATTCAGCCACATTACAGCACCTAGTGAATTCTATGGCTTGGCCTTCTTCTACACAGTCAGGTCATTATGGACCCTTCCAATTTCTCATGAACATTCTCATTATGATAGCAATAAGTTGATTTACGTCAAGATAGTAGAACAGTCAAAAGGTTAATGTTCAGTTTATTTCATCCGTTGTGATTCTTGTAGTTTGCAAGATTAACTGCGCAAATTCTGAGATGGCTTTAAGGTCTACTCCTAAAAATTTCATCTTTCACTAACATAGTGATCGTTTCTACCACCTATTTGTAATTAGTTGAAAGTTATGAGGCAAATTCTTAAATATATAAACGATCCACTTCTAAAATACGTATAGAAGAAAAGGTCACTTATCTTAAAGAATGAAAGTCATGCTTGATGTAATCGTTAACGCAAATTATGGTGTTACACTAACACCATTTTAGCTTTCAAAACTTTATTTAATCAGTTAATTAAATAAATCTTTTCACACCGAAATACATCAGTCTGTTTGAGCTTTGATATGGAATTTTCAGCATAGGGTATGCATTATGAGGATGGGCTGCAGATGAGATCTAGAACTATGCACAGACAGAGAAAGAGAGAGAGAGAGAGAGAGAGAGAGAGAGAGTCTGCACTTTATCTGCTTAGCATGTGCTTTGAGCCAATCTGTCAAAATCCTCCTCACAAGGCTTCTGTCAGCTGACCTGTGGCACATATTTATTTATCACTGGTTTCATTAAATCTTATGATCAGGTTGTTGGCCAGTTGATTGTATAACTGCAGTTTTACTCATAAGGTGAAAGTATGAAGAAAATGTGTAAAGAACACAAGCACAAAACTCACAGGCTATGTTAACTGCTGCTAATCATGATCGTCTAGTCCAGACGTTCTCATTACAATGTTCAAAGACCCACTGCCCATCCACATTTTCGTTCTGCTTTCCAATGTCCATACTTACGGGATCTGGTAAAAAAGTAAATCTACAAGAGCTGCATCAGTCTTTAAATTACTGACTAATCCTTAGGGTGGAAGACAGAAGTTCCCAGATAAAATGAAAGGATCATTTTGATATTGAGCATGTGTGATGAAGTTCCCAGATAAAATGATGGGCTTGGCCAAATTTATGAACTTGCTTTGATGCACACTTCACTGAGTGCATAATCCCATCTTGCAATATGAAGTCTGACTAACAGCCTAAAATTTCTATGAACAGCACTAGACATACTGACACACAATAAACAAACTCCTACAATGTGCGTTTTTTTCTCTCAATGTATGGAAAAGATATTCATGTCTTTGTTCATACATTATCTGTGTTTTATCCTGTATGAGTGAAATGTCAAAGCAGCAATAAAAACTAAGCCTAAGTTGGGGTTCAAAGGTTATGGCAAACAAGAGTGCATTTCAAACTGCTTTTATTTTTGATGCACAACAACCCTTGTCCTCTATGATGTCCAAAGTCAGGAAAACTCTCCCAGCTGCCTGCACAAACAGAATGCAAGAATGCAGTTTGAAAAAACAACGGGCGGCTGCAAAACCCTTTATTAACTTGCTGGTGGGTCCTAGGACAAAGAGGCAAATAAAAACTGTGGGCTGATTTCAAACACATCCAAAGTGGACCACCCAACCAAAGTGTGGCATAATGCTCATAGAAACACTCAACATTAGGTATAACCCATTTTGAATTTATTTAAACCATTAAGGCCATGTTTAAATTGTTCAATCCAATAAACCTTGGGGAAACTTTGAGAAGTTCAGGCAGTGATAAGAGCTTTCATTTTTTGCCAAAGGATCATTTTGATATTGAGCATGTGTGATACAAATTTGGCATCTGTATAAAAGCCAAAATTCTTTTTTATTGTGAACAACCCCAGAAAATATCAGCAGCTAAAATTCACATTTTTGCCTCTGCCAGATGCTCTTGTCATGAGCCATATACATGAATGAGATGAGATGTAAACTTGACGCAGTCTTTACATTTTCATTTATATCCAAGATTGATTCTATCTTATAGCTTCATCTACAGCATGGAGCAACAAAAATGATTCCCTTTTTTTTGGTTACTCGTGAATGAACACCAATTCCTTTCTTTTTATTGGGTGTAACCTTGATATGACCTAATTTTCTCTTAGACTTGGTTTGCTTGAAAGAATTATTTGGTTGACCCTCAGTGCGCACTGTACCTTCTGTAGGGAACAAGCATAATGCTTATCTGAATTACTTCTCTCAGTTCAAGTCCAGTCAGAGTGACTGTCTTTGAAGAGCCATAACAGCAAACAGACTCCTTCGAGACCCCAGGGAGAGTTGGCAAAGCAGCCAAAAAGATCTGGATGATCTGCACTTAGTTAAAATGGATAGACCAAATGAGTATTAAGAGCAAAAGTGAGCTTTTGTTGCAGCTGAATTGTTTATTATTTCTTATAATGTTTTCATTCTGCTATTCTAAAAATGAGAACCGCTGACCTATCAGGAATGATACAACATCATATACTGTAGAGCCTTCGCTTCAGACGACTCTATATTCCAGCAATTTTCTGCATCATTAACTGTCACTACCATCTGCTTAGAGTGTATTTTGGGAGAAATGATGACTGACAATATATCAGCAGGAAGCAGGCGTAGAGACTGGTATCTGATATTTCCTCAGCTAAAAAATTATTGTAATTGAAAAGAGGTCAAGAAAAGCATCCGTTACAAAGCAGTCTCGGAAAGAAAAAACGTCTCTGATGGCTTCAAACTAGAACAAGCTGCAAGTGTGCTGTTTGAACCTAATGAACATGTACAAATGATTTCAATTTTTGGTGGCTGTTTTTTCTATAAAAAAACAACATTGCCACAAGGTCTTTACCAGTGAAGAAAAACATATTATGCTCACATTTTTTGGTAATACAAACCATCTTTCAGCAGATATGCTTTCAATATCTGTACTCTCTGAAGAGTAAACGCTCTCAAATATCATTACTCTGGACTGTCTAACTTTGACATTGCCGTGTGACCACTGGAATAAATACGTGCATAACCTCCAGTCAGCTCCACCATTACTGGTGCCCTTGATAATGTTGGGACGTGAAAAAAGGTGGTTAATTAACTCACACTGAAAATATGAGAAAAATCTCACTTTTAATAGAAGTAAATTTAGTCTTAGAAAACCAAAGCCCTTATCAAACTTTTGTAACAGAACAACATGGGTCACAATTATTGGCACCTCAGAAATCCTCATTAACAAAAAGTAACTGAAACATGCTTCCACTTATGTTTCACTTTTTTAAGTCCATCTGAGCGTTCAGGAATTCTTAAGCAGTCATTGGTAATAGCCCTGTACCCTATTTTAATGAGGTATAAATATGAAGTGACACAGAGGCCAAATTCTTATAGAATTACAAAATACACAAATAAAATGAGAACAAGTCAGTTGACCTTCATAAACCAGGCAGTGGCTTTAAGAAAAATAGCTAAAAATGCTCATATCCACTGTTAGGTCAATAATTAAGAAGTTTAAAACAACAAGATCTGTCGTGAATCTGCCTGGAAAAGGACGCGAGTGTATACCATACGGCCATAAGTATGTGAACCCCTATACATCATGCCCATATGAGCTTGTTGGACATCCTATTCCAAAACAATGGAGAATAATATAAACCTATGGAGTTACCCCCCCACACACACGCTTTGCAACTATAATAGCCTCCACTCTCAAATCCTTTCCTGGTATCCATTTGCGTGGTCTACCACTTCATGGCTGAGCTGTTGTTGATCCTAGACATTTTACAATAATAGCACTTACAGTTGACTGGGGCAGATCTAGCACAACAGAAATTTCACAAACTGATTTGTGGCAAAAGTGGCATCCTATGATAATGTGGCAATGGCAATGTGGAGATTGCATGGTTATGTGCTTGATTTTATATACATGTTAGTAATAGGTGAGGCTGAAACACCTAAAC